ACGTTTCTTTTTGAATTCAACAAATGACTTGGATTCATCTATAACTTGTTAATTAAGATTGCTTATGATAACACTTTACTTGTAATATACTTATAAGTGGTATCTCCGTATTTACTACAGATTAAATTTAATCTTCTCATATAATGAGTACCAAATTATAGTAATAATGTATACATTTATACGATTTTTACGATGATACATTACTTTTGATGCTTACATGAGTTCGAAAAACTTGCATGTATGTACCATCAAGATGCATTTCTTCGTATCTACAGCATTCATCATATCATCGAAGATACTGTTTAAAATATATTAAAAGCAATTTATAAAACTAAATATGCGTAAGTCTTAAGCCAAATTGTAATTATTGTTGGTCAATAAAATCGAATTGTAAAATTAGTTGCTTTTCATTAAAAATGTGAAAATATCTTTTAAGTCTATAAAAACTGTACATTTTTTACTTCGGTATTATGGATAATTAAGTCATTCAGTTGTGTTCATGTTGCATTGCGTGGAAAAGTGAGAAAAAAAATTGTTTTAAAGCCTCAGGCTTCGTGTGTATTAAATAACTCAGTGGCACGGTAGGTTGACTATGAAGATGAGATCTTCAAATGAGTTATTAACTATGGAAAAAATATGCATTAACGGCTGTTAAAGTCAAATATTCGAAAACTTAAAACTAAATATAAAACCAATAAAATCAGAATGAAAACGAAAGTGTGAAATATGCAAAGTTCAATTAAATTTAATTTCTGTTTTTTAGAGGTTCGAAGTCGACGATGGTCGCGCCTACGGTAGCAGATTGAATTCATTACTAAAGCTCAGGTTAAGTTTAATTTTTAATATAAACTTTGATTGCCTTTAGCTGCCACCAAAATGATTACATGCGAACCGTTCTGCAATTTTGTGGGCAACTGTTGCTGTTGTTAACCGCAAGTGCAGCAGAGCATTTCAATTACTTTGAGGTGATTTTAAACATTTAATAAAATATTAAAATTTTCCAGTTAAAAAAAATACGCCTCACGGCTCTTTTGACCATCAAAATTACACTTTGTATACATTTTGGTTAAATATATTTTTTTCTTTATTTTTGTGGGATTTTTGCTAAGAGGAAGAAAAATTTAACCGCTGCCAAGAAAAGCGTGAATTTGCGAGAATTGCTGAACTGATGGATTGAAGTGAAATGTTATACTTTTTTGGAATTTTAAGTATTTGTAGGTGGAATACTGTTAATCAAAAATTAAATTAAAATTAACTTGATAAAAATAATTATTTTTTCTTACGTTAAATATATCTTTACTAGGAATGCAGATCATTATTTATAAAGTGAACATCGACAACCCTATATACTGGTGCATGCTGCTATCTTTAGTGGAGAATTAAATATTTTCGACCACTAGCTCGTTCAGTGCATTTTGTTATTGGAGATCGATTTGTGACATTTATGCCTCAGTATTAACTAACTTATTTGACCATAACAACCCGTTACCGGGTTTCGGTCTGACGCAGCAAGTCTCTCCTCCTCCCAAGCGTTTCTGTAACTTGCACGCCTTTTTCAGTCCTTTACATCAAATCCGGTTAGTACTCCCTCAACTTAATCACTCCAACGGAGATACAAACTACCTCTACGCCTTCTTCCTAAAACTAATGCTTCGAATATCTTTTTCGCTGGTGAATCCATATCCATTCTCACTACTTGACCAAATTACAGCGGTTTGTGTGTTCATTTGCTGAATTCTATCGATGTCGTGACAAAGTTCGTACAGCTCTTGAATCATTTGGACGTAGTAGTTGTCCTCAACTTGTAGAGTACCAAAGATCTTACGAAGAAGTTCAGTAAGAAAAAGAAATTAATCTCTGAAAATTTTTTCGTGAACTTGAACTTAAAAACTTGAAATATAAATTGCAGCATCATATTAAAACGAGTTTGCTTGTGGACGTCGTTAAAAGTTGTGCCTTAAAACACTGATAATGTTTGGTCGTTAGGTGACATACTAAGAGGAAATATAGTGTGATCATTTAGTAGTAAAAAAGATTTGTTCTAGTTGGATTCGACATTATTTGATAAAATTTAAAAGAAATCCTCAACATATCTTTCAATCGACACCAATCCTTCCGATTGCTGTAAAAAAATGGTCCTGGTTTTCATAAATGATAAACCATTGATGACCTTGTTAGAGAAGCTTGAAACCAAACCGTTAATAAAGATAATAAAGTTAATCCAAAGAAATTTGTTTGTGCTCGAAGCACTTTAAAATAAGTTGTTATCTGTATATTTTGGAAACACTAATATTGTTGGAACAAAGACATGGAAGCAACCTTGATCAGTTAATTCTATATGGCGCAAGATCATTTGTTTGCCTGTATTGTTTAAAAAGATGGAGAAGCGATACCGTCATATACTACACTACGACAGTGTGAGCTTCCACGATAAAAAATATTGAGTTGGCCATAAATTTTAGGCAATAAATCTCGTCGATAAAGTAATTAAAACAAGTATAAAAATACAGTATCCTGAAGAAATATTTGGTAAAAAATTTGGACGAATGTGATCGATCAAGCATCATACTGAAGTGACTGGTTTCTTGTGATTTTTGGCTGGTCCGGAAGAAAAAACTACCACTTAAAATAAAACTCGTTGAAGAAATTTATGACCATACTTCACTCAGTATAAAAAACATGTGTGGATGATTAGATCAAAAGCTGGTATAGTATATATAGAAGCTAATTTTAAGGTGATAAATAAATTTTGAGTGATTGACAATTGCTTATGTATTATATACCTCTCTAAATATTTCTCTATTGGAAAAAATAGTTTATATTAAGAACAATATTAATTTCAAAACGGACGTTAAAATTCAATTTATATATATTTTGTGTACTGTATGTATCAAGAAAAAACTATATTCAAATATTGCACCTGGAAAACTGTATCTAAATACGTTTAGGCTAGGGTGAATAGATTGACTAAAGGTGTTACTCAAACATCCTCAAGTTCCTACCGATATCAATTAGAAGTATAGTTATGAAATGACAGACTTCCTAGAAAGGTACATGTACTCCTTTAATTAAAACAGAGTCCCCTACTGCGGGGTGACAAATAGCCGCACAAATATCTTAATATGGAAGAAACGAAATTTACCTGATCACTGTAGAGCCCAAACAGGCATGCGGTAGTTAAGAAGATTTATTGATGCTGAACACATCAAAGTTGACGCTATCCTCAACCTCAGCAGAAACGGTATTAAACTCTACACTGAACTACTTACAAGACACTATAGACTCAATTACCACATGAAGAATATATGTTAGATGCGGTAGTAAGTGATTTCTGTCGATTCTGTTACGAGAAGAAGAAACATCAGAGCATGTTCTTTACAACTGAAAGTGTTGTAAACCCATTAAGGATGAACTCAGTCCTTAATGGGAGATATTTTTGATGCTTTGGTTGGTTCAAACTAAATTTTAATCTAATACGTATTACGTCATTTTTGTAGTAATACTTCTATTTTTTTCTTACATATTTTAAAATTTCAATTAATTCAAATTCAATTTAATCTCGTAAACATTATTTCTATTAAAAAGAATTTAAATTGGCTTTATCTATTCGATAGAAATGCCTTAAAATTTATTTTTTAATTAATCAATTTTTAATTTGAACAATAAAATATAATATGTTTTCACCTTATTCATTATGAATTATAATGAAAAAATTTTATTCTGTCATGACACAAAAAAATTTAATTCTATAAACTTCCACAAAAGAAGCTAAGCCAGAAAACATCTGTTAATATACGAATGGCCTTTGTTCGCCTAATGAAGGTATTAGTAATAGTTTTGTGTATCTGTCCGAAAAGTAACAATAATACATCAATAATTTATTGATTTGGGTCAAAAGAAATTTTATCTCAATTTGATTTTTTGCTGTGCTACTAATTTCTGGTAACAAAACAAAAAAAAAACTGATTATTGAAAAAAGTGAAAGGTTTTCATTTTCAGCATAAAATCAAAACTCATAAATACCGAAGTGAAGAATTATAACTGCGTTCGGCTCAGATATACCAGAACCACATCAATTCAGTGGAATTGATTTAAATGGGATTATGAGTTTGAGTCTGCTTTCTTGACGAGCAAAAAGCATTAACTTCCGCAAACGCGTCGATTCCATCGAAAACAGAAACGCTTAATTTGATGTCAAATCATTTGGCATTGATGGGGCATTGAGCGAACTCTCTCAACTCGCACTGTAGTCGAGGCGTTCGTGTCGATAAAAATAAGAATAAAAATAAAATTCAAAAAATGGAAATGAAATGAAAAACAGTTATTAAAAATTGCTGTAGTTAAAATGCGGAAAATATCTACAAACGTATTATTTCTTTTCAATTTTCCTGTTCATTGAACTTGTCTTGCAAGATACTTTATTTCGCATCAAAGAATCTAATCGATCGTGAATATTTCACATGCTGTATTTACAAGAATAACTGCATATGAAATATCATCATTAAAGCAGTTTAGTTTTCTTAATATGCGAAAAAAGTTGTGTTCAAGCAATA